TAGGAGTGGTGAGAGTGGGCATCCTTGTCTGGTTCCTGTTCTTAAAGGAAAAGCTTTCAGGATGATATTGGCAGTGGGCTTATCATATATGGCTTTAATTATATGGCTTTAATTATGTTGAGAAACTTTCCGTCTATACCTAACTTATACAGGGTCTTTGTCATGAATGGGTGTTGAATTTTATCAAATGCTTTTTCAGCATCTATAGAGATGATCATATGGTCCTTGTGTTGGATTTTATTAATATGTGCACCTGGCCTATTTCACTTAACATAGTTTTCTCCAAGCTCATCCATGCTGCTGCACATTATAGCCCCAGTTTTTATACTGTGTATGTGTAAAGTGCCTGGTGTACTTAGCAGGTGCCAGTAATACCCTCCTTTCCTCCTCCCTTTCAGGTAAGCTGCCAGATTTCACTTTGACGTTTTTACTATAGTACTCCTCTCATTCCTTTTATTTGACTATCTTTTTTTAGGGGGTGGGGGTGGAGAAAGCATTTGTAAAATGTACATTTGAGAAAAAATTTATATACAGTATGTATAAAAAACTTGCAATTTGATAATACAGATGCTCCTTGACCTACATGGGGTTACGTCCCAATAACGCCATCCTAAGTTGAAAACAGTGTAAGTAGAAATGAAAATACATTTAATACACCTATTGCTAGCCCCCCAAAAGATCAAAATTCAAAATTTGAAGTATGGTTTCTACATTGCGTATTACTCTCGTACCATCATAAAGTTGAAAATCGTAAGTTAAACCATCATAAGTTGGGGATCGTCTGTACAAATATAAATCCTTCAGGCTAGGATACCATATAATTAAATATGTAAAAAAAAGGGATAAAATGACCTATTCACAAACTCTCACTGACGTACAATGAAATAACTACAGAAAATAAGAATTTTCATAGCAACATGATGCCACAACTTCCAAGCTCATGATCAACTGACTCACCTTGATGAAGAGGGTATAGACTAGCCTAGATGCAGTTGCATTTGCATTTGCGTGGTGAGTTGCATGTGGTACAAACTGCGTAATTGTCATGTGCAGTAAAACCATGTTATAATATATAAGATTTTAAGGGTGGTTTTGTCCACTATTATCCAAAAGTGTGTAAAACATGGAAAACATTTTTTTCATTTAAAGACAAATTTAACTACAGGTTGACGGGTGGGGAAGAAAAAACAAAAAATTTACCTACAACTTTAAAGGGCCAAATGCTAGAACTAGCTGCTGATGAAGGAATGAAGATAAATTTGGAAAATATACCATCACTTGCTTCATTTTGGATGAAAGTTAAAAATGAATACCTTGAACATGCTAAAATTGTTTTCCAATCTCTACTTCCATTCCCATCAAACATACCTTTGTGAGACTGGTATTTCTACTATGTATGCTATTAAAAGAAACATATAAAAACAGTGAAGATATACATTATCTCTCACAATAAGCATTATCATCAATCCAATTAGTAAGTTACAACAAAAAGAAACAAGTCTGTTTATCACATTAAAAATTCTAAATATTGATATACAAGGTGGTCTTTTCAAAGCATATATGGAATTACTATTTCACTCTTGACGTTTTGTTTTGTTATAATTTTGTGGAAAAGAAAATTTGAGTCTAAGTGATTGTAATGGATTGAATTATGTCCCCCCAAAACTCAAAAAAACTTAAATTGTGTCCCCAAGTTTTATGTATTAGAAACTTAGCCTGCACTTTGACTGTTAAGAGGGTGGGAAATCCTACTGTGGTAATTGAAAGGTGGAATGTTAAAGAGGTGATTAAATTGTAGGACTGTGCAGTAGTGAATGGATTAAAAACGGTGGTCAGGGGTGTGGTTCTGAGGGCTTTAAAAGAAGAGGAGAGTCTGTCTCTCTCTCTGCTCTATCTGCTTCCACCATCTTTCAATGTGAGACCCCTGGGTCACTGTTGCCACCACCAGATGGACTTTGGACTTCCCAGCCTCAGGAACTATAAGCAATAAATTTCATTTTTCTTTATAAATCACCCAATTTCAGGTATTTTGTTATAAGCAACATAAATGGACTAAGACAGTGATTTTATATATTAATTGCCTGTATGTACATACTTTCAATGAAAAATGTGCAGTTTCTACAATTTTTTTTTCCTATGTTATGTTTGTTCTGATTATATTTATTGGAGTGTAATTTTATGTCTGTTGACTCTAATAATTAAAAAATGGGGCTTATATTTTATATGTGTTCTTTCATTTCTTTTCTCTATAATTCATTTTTATTACAAATTACTTAAAAAAGTAATCACATGAACAGATGCTCAATATCATTATTCATTAGGGAAATATAATTAAAATCACAATGAGATCTCTCTTCACACTCACTAGGATGTCCATATTCAAAGACAGTAACAAGTGTGGGTGAGGATGTAGAGATATGGAAACCCTCACACATCTCTGATGGGATTGTAAAATGGCACAGCCATTTTGGAAAACATTCTGGCAGCTTCTTTAAAAAGTTCAACAAATTTACCATATGTCTCAGCAATTCCACTCCTAGGTGTCTACCCAAGAGATATGAAAACATAAGCCCACTCATAAACTTGCATATTAATGTTCACAGCAGCACTATGCATAATATCCAAAAAGTGAAAATGTCTATCAACAGATGAATGGATAAACAAAATGTGGTATATACAGACAATGGAATATTATTCAGCCTTAAAAAGGAATGAAATTATGATACATGCTATAATATGGATGAACCTTAAGGACATATACTAAGTGAAATAAGCCAAACACAAAAGGACAAATATTGTGACTCCACTTATATGAAATATCCAGAAAAGGCAAATTTCCAGAAAGCAGACTGGTAGTTACCTATGGCTAGGAACAGGGATTAACTATAAATGGAATATTTTTAGGGTGATGAAAATGTGCTAAATGTTCTAAAACTGTATTGCAGTGATGGTTGCAAAACTTGGCAAATTTACTACATATTATTGAATTGTGCACTTCAAATGGGTAAACTTTATGGTATGTAAATTATACCTCAATAAAGTTGTTTCAAAAAAAAATGAATGCCCCATGATAGATTAGTGATAAACTAGTCATTCACCACAGATCAGTTGAGAAGTACTACTGTAAGTGACAATCGGGGACTTTTCTTATAAATAAATTATGTGAGTTTAAGTACAGACACACACTTGATAAATCAAAGGCTTTTGGGACTTCGCTTTCTGGTTTTAGCATATACTTCCGATATCTAAAACTGCCAGATAAACAACCTCAAGTCATGCAAGTTATTCAGCCTGTTAGGTATTTAAATCCTGCTTGTTCAGCCACACATAAAAATGACGCTAAACCCTAAAAATTTTAGAAATTGTTATCCAGATTGATGACTATGATTTTTTCACATACAGATAAACTAAAACAGCCACTCAAAAAAGGGCTCATGTAATATTATCTATGTGCTGGCATTAAAAATCATGCTGTTAATGAAAAAATTACTTGATTATACTGAATTCTTCAAATACCTGTATTTACAAAACCAAAATTGGAAAAAGGAGAAGGGGGAAGCTAGAAGATAATGAAAACAACAGATCCTACTGAATAGTCTTTTTATTTTATTTTTTTGCAGCCTTCCTCCTCCCCATTTGCCAGTTTTGGTTTTGATCTCTGAAATTTATTTTTATCCCTTGGAATTTTATTAATTTTAAAACAGAGTTTATTAGAGTTGTGAATAATGGTGCCTTTGCATACCAGGGTGGTAATGAAATCCCACAGAATTATCTCTAACTCCATTTTCAATTTTATTTAGTTTAATGGTATGAAGCATTAAAAGGATTTTGAAACAAACTGAATGACAATATTAGAGAAGGAGAAAAAGACTATTCTGAAAGTTTCGGCTGGTAGATTCATACCATAAAGATTATCCTGGATAAGAACAATTAAGACGCTATTACAGAGAACACTTGATACAATAAAATTCATTGTGTACATGATTTGTAAAGTGCTTGTACAGGAAAAAAATGTGGCAAGGAATGAAAGCTGAGCATCATGCCCTTCATGCCTATACCTGCTCTAGAGGGGAATTTGATAGGACACATTGCCATCTTGGGCCTATTCCAAGATAATTTAGATTCTACGGTACCAAAAGACACTCAAGTTTCATGTCATAAACCTTAAGGACAGTGACTGATCAAGAGTAATGATGGAAAAGAAAATATATCTTGTCAAAATAAGTTTCCATTTTTAGTCTTGAGCTAAATAAGTAAGCTTACTTAAGTTGCTGGATCCAGGGAATGATCCGTTTCATGTCATCATTCACGGACTTCTCCATGTCATCCAGAGTAGCCTGGTCTACAGAATAAATCATTTCCATTAGTTAGCTGCTTACATGAAATACAAAATCTTCATCCAGGTAGCCCGAAATATAAATGAAAATTATGGTTTTAGGCAGGAAATCATGTTATTTCTGAGTCAGAGAAAAACTAAACTAAATGCATCAATAGATATAAACCAACCCAATTTTTTTTCCCCCTTTAACATTTAGGGAGAGTTATAAATAAGACAGCTAACTGACAACAAATGTATACTGGCAGGAAGAACAAATAAATACATGAATTAATTCTTTGCCTGTATTTTATTTCCCCAAACTCTTTTTAATTAGTATTTTTAAGTTATAAGTATTTAAATTCATAGTATAACCAAGCTTAGAATCTAAAAAATAATAGAAACTAAAAAGATCGGCTTGCTAATTGTCGCTTAGAATTTTTAATAACACTAGAAAACACAAAAAAAAATATTGGGCAAAAAAAACAAGATACAAAATGATTTCAATTAATGAAAAAAGTATTTAAAAAATTAGAAGATCACTGCTATAGAGAGAACTGTATCCCCCCAAAATTCACATATTGAAGCCCTAATCCCCCACGTGATGGCATTTGGAGAAGGGGCCTTTGGGAGGTAATCAGGCTTAGATGAGGTCATGGTGGGGCTGCCATGAATAAATTAGTACCCTGGTAAGAAAAGACACCAGACACCGTGCTCTTTCATGTGAAGACACAACAAAAAGGCAGCTGTCTACAAGCCAGGAAGAGAGCCCTCACCAGAAACCAACCATGCTTAGCACCTTGTTCTTGAACTTCTAGCCTTCAGAACTGTGTGAGAAAATAAATTTCTGTTGTTTAATTTACCCAGTCTATGGAATTTTGTTATGACAGCTGTCTAAAACAAGCATACATCCCTAAAATACTACTGCTCTTCTCAGTTTTATACATTTAGGTTTTTTATTTATGAGTGTATGCTATGTTAATAATCAGGAAAACAGTTAAAGAAAAAGTTTTAAAGAGTAAACAACAATTGCCTTGTTGGTTTAGAACCACAGCTAAAATAATTGATAAATGTGTGATTTAGCCATCATAAATGTGATGTCAAAGAAATGAGTCCAGTTTTCCATGAGCAGCCTGTAGAAAAAAATCTATCTTTACGGCCATATAATAAAACCGGAAAACCCTTTATTTGCATCAGTCTATCTAGCTTAATTTTAATTTCAAATGGAAAATATGCTAATATATTCAAGAACACTGTTCCAATAGCAATACAAAAACATTAAATTTCTAGTGTTTCATCATTTCAGAACACCAACTCAGTAAGACAGCAAGTAAGAAATCAAACTTTAATGTCTGCTGTGTTTAAGCCAGAAAAAAATCCTTTCTTCCAGGACTCTGTATTCCAAGTCATCTCGGATGTTTCTACTGTCATAAATATGTTCTTCAGCCATGAGTGACATTAGAATCCCTTGTAGTCATCTCCATGTCACCCAGCTATGAGTGGTAAAATAGAAACTGAGTGACGGGATAGAGAAGTCAAAAACACCAGCCATCAACATTTTACTTTTATATGACAGAAATAACACAAATGTACTTTATATTGGGAAGTTCAACTTCTTATACGAGAAAATCCAAAGCAGAGTTAAAACAGGGCCCCAAGGAATGGACATCAGCCAGTTACTCCTTCCACACCTACTTTTAACACTGCACATACCAATACCCAATGACAAAAAATTTTTATTTTGCTTTTATTAAAAATATTTTTTTTTACACTGAGTGACTATATCATTAGTAACTTACCAAGTCCATAAAGCATCAATTGAAACATTCCAGAATGCAAGTCTACAAAAATGTGCAGACATTCCGAATTACCACAGGGCTCCAAGATGGGAACAACAAGAGCTGGAAGTGCAGTCTCTATGGAAGCTGAACAGTAAAGAATTAAAAATTATTTTCCTATCTGAATATTTTCCCAAAATATTATTTCTCAGACAGTAGACACAAACCCATTACTGAAGGATCGTGAATGCTAGAGAACATGACTTTGCAAAATTTGGAATAGTACTATTATGTTAACTAGCAGCTCAAAAGAATGTAATTTTCAAGTTGACTTGAAACAAACATACCCATCTCAAGTTCTACAGGTAAAAGAAAGCAAAACAAACAAAAGATTTCTTAAAAGGGCTAAAATAGCTACTGAAAATTCAAGCTCATCAGTAAGCTGAATTCTAGCTTTACTTTCACTTGGTAGTTACTAAGAAGTTAATTTTTAAGGATTTTTTTTTAATATATAATGGGAAGAAAATTACCTGTTTCGTAAACAGAATAAATTTCATCTATGGCCTAATGATTTTCAATGCCATTCTCTATAAAAAAAGTTTTATGTCAATTAGTGCTTATGTATTTAAAGAAACACTTGAAAACTATTAACATTACTGATTACACAGGAAAAAAATTTTTCAAGTCATTTGTATACTTCAAGTAACAGCTTATAATATATTATTATGAGAATATAAGAGTATACACCACATATATTATAAGAATTATAAGAATATAGGCAATTACTAAATACAAATCTCCAAAGCTAACAATATACCTGATCTAGAGTTTCATAGTATTTTCTTCAGGTCCAATTAATTTTTCCCTTGATCTCACAAACATAATGAAACCCAGTAAAAGAGCAAAGCACTGAAAGCACCCCAGGTGCTGATCAGATTGAGGGGTTTTAAAAGGAATATGTTCTTCATCTTACCAAGTTCCTCTAAAACCTACGATACAGAAAAAAGGCCGGCAGGGAAAAGATGGTGATCTAGGTACACGGAGAAAAGGGAATGTGAAAGGCAAGGAGGAGAGTGGTGATGTAGGCCTTTCACCAGCCTTGACTTCTCCATGCCACTTTGTCAAACAAGGACAATAACATCTTCTTCCCCTCCATGCCACAGGTTGTTAGGAGAAAGAAATGACAAATTTGTGAAGGTGCTTTAAAAAGAAAAGTTCTCACTTGGGACGGCATAGTGCTGAAAACACCCAGGTGAAGAGTTCGGATCCCACACCAGCAAGCCACCAAAAAAAAAAAAAAAAAAAAAGTGCTTGAGGAGGCGGGGCACGATGGCAGACTAGAGGTGTCCAGGGAGCACTCCTTCCACAGAAAAGGACCAGAACTGTAGAGGATTCATAAAACAAATGTATCTCACAGGGCTTGGTTTTCCAAAGACTTGCAGTTTCAAATACTGACCTTGCAAAGGACAGGAGACTTTCCCCAGGCTATTGAATCTCTGTTGCAAGATAAGAATTGTTACACAGCAAGGTTGCTGGCTCAAAGACAGACAAGTTATTAATTGATATGTAAAGTTACTAAAAAGCTGCTAGAGGGAAAAGGAACGTTTGCTAAATCAAGCCTTTGTTAGTGGATCACTTAATTGCCTAACAGAATGTCATCTAACTTGTTTTTACTGAATGTTACCAGCTTCTATTGTAAAACTTGTTACACTGTACTTAGCAAAACCCCACCTATGTCTCTTCCTATAACTTCTTGGTATGGAGAATAAATGCAAGAAGAGAACCCCAATTCGTGGTTAATTTCCCAAATGGAAGAAATGCCTTACACTTGAGGAAGTTCTGGGATATTAATCCCTTTCTGGGGCTTCTCACTGCTCAAAAGAGATGGGCTTTGAATAACCTTTGGCAGCTCCATCACCCAGGGGAAAAGGGGTGACAAATCCATGGAAGGCAAAGCAACACAGAACTAATGGACAGCTAAATATTGAGAAGAGCGTCTGTGGGAGAGTGTAGGAGTACAGCAGGAGACTGGTGAGATCCCTGTAGAGCACAAAATCTCAGGATGGTGGCACAGAGAGGACAAAGAGGCATGCAGCCGCAGCATCCAGTTTCTGACACCAGGATCAGTGCAGGAGGAATCTTGCCTTGCAGCAAAAAGCTAGGCAGAAGACCCATAGTAACCCCCACCCTCACCACAGAGGTTCAAGGACAAGCCCAGAACCAAGTACGGGGAATGGCCTAGAACACAGACGCTGCATCATTCTAAAACAGTAGCACAGGGGCTGGCCCATGGCTCACTCGGGAGAGTGCGGTGCTGATAACACCAAGGCCCCGGGTTCGGATCCCATATACAGATGGCCGGTTCGCTCACTGGCTGAGCGTGGTGCTGACAACACCAAGTTAAGGGTTAAGATCCCCTTACCGGTCATCTTTTTAAAAAAAAAATAAATAAAGACCCTATTACTGCTCTCAGAGAGTCTGAAGTCTAGTGGGAGAACCCAGCAGTCACGATACTGAAGGACAGCACATTTGCCTGTGAAGGTCTTGCTTCTCCCCACGTCCATGGGTTTACCCAGTAGCACAAATGGGGCACTCCTCACCCCCACCCTCAAGCTGATGCAGGATCTTGAAACCAGAGCCATCTTGGGAGTGGGCCCTGCCCTGGGGCTAGTAGCCACAGCACTTCCCCAGCTTTAAGGGACTGCCCTATTCCCAGTGCACTTGCACGAAAGGCTACAAAGACCCGATCCAGGCCTGGGCTCATAGCAGCTGTGACTCAAGTTCCACAGTCTGGGAAACCAACCATAGTCCTGCTGAACTGACGCACCCCCAAGTCCCCAGCCAGAGAACAGATAGGCAGACCCTCCTCTGGTGGACTACCCCCCCATTCCTTTCCCTACCCCAAGCCCTGCCAGCTGACTGAGTTGTGTGCACCTGAGCCCCAAAGACAAAAAAAAACTCTCACTGGTCTCTAATAAATATGCCCTGGGACTGGTGGAAATAACATGCATCTATGCCCTCCCAGAGAAGCAGACAGGCAATTCCGTCCTGAACAGTCCGACATAGCAGCCTTGCCAACAGTCCCAGAAGTGGTTGCACTAGTACACTAGTGCAGGGCTTGCCTACCACCCAAAATCAGCTAGACAGGCCCTCTCACTGCAAGCTGACTTAGTGGCTCCACCCACCAGCCAGAAGGGGCTGGATAGGCCCACTGACCACAGGCCTGCCTAGAAGCCCCACCCATCACCTAGAAGTAGCTGGACAGGCCCCCTCACTACAGCCCTACCTAGTGGCCTTGCCCACTTCCGGAGAAGGAGCACAACAGCTTCAACCTTAGCAGACCACCTCCTGAACTAGAGAGGGTAGCATGACCCTGCATCAGGCCCCAAGAAGTGGCACAGTGGAAGGGCCACCCGCAGACGCGCACTCAGCTAGCTTAGCCAATGCGCACCCATGCCCATGGCTCAGAGAAACAGCTCAGCTGTCGTGCCCCTGGAAGACCTGCCCCTGAGTTTTTGAGCCATGGAACACAAACGTATCCGAGTGAGAAACAGCTTGGCAGATGTGCCCATGGCAGGCCCACCCCTGATCACAGAAGCAGTGTGGTGACACTGTGCTGCTTTGTACTGCTTCGCCCCCCACGGATGTGTCACCCCACTTCCCCTGGGTGACGGAGACGCAAAGGATTACTCAAAGCCCATCTCTACTGAGCAGTGAGAGGCCCCAAAGTGGTTAATCTCCCACCGGAACCCTCAAGCAAGAGGCATCCCTTCCTTGGGAAATTAACGCCGCATTGGGGTTCTCTTACTGCATTTATTTTCCAGACCAGGAAGTTACAGGAAGAGACATAGGTGGGGTTATAGTTTAACAGTATAGGCTGGTGACTTTCAGTGAAACAAGCCAGATGACATTCCAGTAAGGCAATTAACAAAAGCTTGATCTTAGCAAACATTCCTTCCTACAGCAATCTCTCAGTATCTTTACATAACAATCAGTAACTAGTCTGTCTTTGAGCCAGCAACCTACTGTGCCGCAATTCTTATCTTGCAACGGAGACTTATAGCCTGAGGAAAATTTCCAATCCTCCGCAAGGTTAATATTTGAAACTGCAAGGCTTTGGAAAACCAGGCCCTATGAAGTATATATGCTTTTTAGTATATTCCACATCTCCCCCGTTTTCTTTAAAAGGAAAAGAAAAAGCTATAGACCAGGCTGGCATAGTTAAGACAAAAAGCATCTTGTTAAAGCAAAGTTAGTATCATTTATCATGGCAAGTCCTTTTAATTTACTTCAGGTGAGGACTGGTGATATCATATCATCTTCTCAGGGCAGCTACAGCAGCATCACTCCAGTTGCTGTGAATTGGGTGTAATTAACAATTGCTGAAAATCCAGGAAAGGGATTCTGCTCCATGTAATAGTTGATTCTGAGTTCAGGGAGTTTATTAAAGTTAAAACTGTCCAGGACATTACTGTTCTCAGAGCCTCTAGTCTTTTGTTAAGTTTTTGATCAATTACAAGTCCTTTGTTTAAGAACAGGATGTCTCATCCAAGTTGAAAACACCTTCTTTAAAGCAAGGAAAGTTTAGACAACTGCTTTTGTAGAGAAGACCTTATTTCCCCCTTATGATCAAGGCATTCCTCATAAAAGCATTGATGATCAATATCTAGACTGAAAAGGTCTTACTTTTCGTTCCATAAATCTCTCGATGTTGGGAAGGCTCTTTCCCAGGTGATGATAGAAAGAAGCATTTTAGCTCACTTTCTTTCAGTGATCTGTCCCATGTTGCTGGGAATGCTGTTTCCCAGGTTGTGTTTTGTCCCACGTCGGGGACAAAGGATGAAGCACCACTTTGGGCAAAATTTTTTGACAAACATAAAGTGAGATCAGCAACTTGGAAATGAAACATACTATCTTATATCCAAAGTTTTAAGTTGTATGCTGTTATTAGAGAGAGAGACTTAATTTTCATTGAACTTATAAAAATAGCCATATTGCCATAATGATCATAAGGATACTTAAAGTTATTAAATTTGGGGGGGATCAAATAAAGAGAAAATAAATACCTTTATCTCTGTTTTAAATTACATTCTACGAAACTGTTGTTAGTTACAGATAGCTGAAGAGAGTTTTCTTATTTATTTTTTTTAATTTCATTTTGTCGATATACAATGTGGTTGATTACTGTGGGCCATTACCGGAACCTCCCACCCTCCCCGCTCTCCTCCCTCCCACCCAACAATGTCCTTTCTCTTTGCTTGTTGTATCGACTTCAAGGAACTGTAGTTGTTATGTCTTCTTCCACCACCCCGGTTATTTATTTTGTGTGTGTGTATGTGAATTTATTTATTTTTGGCTCCCACCAATAAGTGAGAACATGTGGTATGTCTCTTTCTGTGCCTGACTAGTTTCACTTAATTTAATTCTCTCAAGGTCCATACATGTGGTTGCAAATGGCAGTATTTCATTCGTTTTTATGGCTGACTAATATTCCACTGTATAGATATACCACATTTTCCGTATCCACTCATCCGATGATGGACATTTGGGCTGGTTGCAACTCTTGGCTATTGTAAAGAGTGCTGTG